AAGTGTCTGTGAAATGGAAGAGGAGATTCATTCATTTATTTCCCATTTATTGGGCTCTGGCTGTGTATCAGACATGGTGCTGGGCATTGGGGAATGGAAGGGACAAATGTAAATAAGTCTATTTGCAGACCTTGCTTTCTACTGAAGGACACCCTAAATGGGTGAATAGACAACAAAGAGTACAATGTGGAAAGTACTAATAAAGAGGGATGTGTACAGTTTTGTTTACTTTCAAGTCTAGAGTGATACTCCTTTCAAGGGAAACTCTTGAATTAAAGAACTACTAAAATACTATTAGATTATTCATTCATTCAATAAATACACACTGAACACCCAGTATAGAAAAAATAGTAAAATAGATGCTTGGAGACTATAAAAAATAAGTCCTTAAAGGATTTAAAATCTAGAATGGGAGAGAAGCATACAGAATTAACATGTATCAGATGGCATCAAGTGTTAAAACAGAGGTTCAAATAGTAATTTAAGTGGAGGGTAAGGAATAATTTTCATTAGGAGCATCATAGAGTGCCTTAAGGATGCCATGGAATTTAAGCCAGACTTTGAAAAACTCTGATTTATATCTTCCCAATAAAATAGTTCCATGAAATAAAGGGTGTCAGAGTGTAAAAGAGGGCTTAGACCAGTGGCTGTAAGATTTGGAAGAGTGAAATCTTGGGGACATGGCAGAAGAGAACATAGAAATAATGAGGGCCTAGAAGCCCCAGTTCTCTCTTTGGCAGTACAAGTAATTAGTTGTGTGACTCTCACTTAATCAGTTACCCAATTTGGTTTTCTCATTTCAAAAATGAGTATGTATAGATGATTGATACAGACCTTTCTAGCTTTAAGATCTAATTAAATTATTGAATAACCTAATTAAATTACTCATCATATGCTTAAATACAATAAAGTGTCCATTATTTTTCAGTAAGGATAACCTAGCATGGTCCCAGTTATTGGGTGTCATGTTGAAACTGATAGTTTAACTATTCCATGCATTTCAGTGATTCCTTTGTGAATATACTTCAATCTTAATGTAGCAAACTCAACATGGTGGACATTTTATTCTTGGGTGAACAGAATCATTAGTCTGGACTGCATGAGGAAGGGGAGGTTTGTGGAGAAGTTGTTTCATGGAGTAGAGAAAGCATCAGACAGACTTGGGTTCAAATGCTGGAGCTGTCACCAGCAATGTGAGTTTCCATGAGTCACTTAACTACTCTATGCTTCAGTGTTCTTTTCTACAAAGTGGGACTAATAATTATTAGTGGGACTAATAATCCTGCTTCATAAAGTGAGGAGCAAATAAGGTAATACATTCAATGTCACTCATTAATAATTCATTGTGGATAATATATGAGTGAACAAGTAATATCTCTGCATAAGAGTATCTCCCCCTGTACAGAAGAGATGTGTTCCTGAAAGATTATATGTGATTTGAATGTCATTATACTTCCTTCATATTTGAAGTGTGCTGTTTTCAAAGTCCCTTCTGTGCCTATTCTTTCCAACCAATTAATTTTTTCTTGGATTACATGAAATATGAGTTTATAAAGCAGGGCAATTACTTCATTAAAGAATGAATTACGAAACTACTTTGTGGAATAAACCACTAGTTGCCTACCCAGTATTCACTTTCCCCTTCTTTCTAAATAAGATGTTATTTGAGGCACAAATGTGCTCAACTGAAAGCACATTCATTTCACAATGCTTTTTGCATAAGGGGTGGCAATGTGATGTAAGTTGAGGAGTTCCCCTTTATCCTTTCTTCTTACCTTTTTCCTGTTTGGAATGAAGGTTGGATGTCTAGAGACCCATAGACATTTTGTAGCTCTAATAATGGAAGTCATGCACCAAAGATGTTGGAGTAGCCAGACCAGGAGCTGCAATGCCTGATGACTTTGTGGGCTGCAGTATCAGCCCTGGACTGTCCATCTTTAGACTTCCTGTCTGTGTGAGAGAGCAATTACCTTCTATTTTGTTGAAGCGCCTGTTATTTCTGTTTCCTGATACGAGCAGCCTATTATAGTTCCTAACTGATGCACCTAGCAATATTAGTGACACTGTCCAGTTCAGTGGGCTGGAGTGTGTGTGTGTGTGTGTGTGTGTCAGAACCAGAAATCAGAGTAATGATCATGTCTGAGCACCCTCCCCCACACCTAATCATCTGTGCAAGATCCACGAGACTGACTAGTTAATATTGACAGTAAAGTTTATTAAACATTCACTTAGATGCTGGAGAAGCATACAGGAAGGGTACCTAGTCTAATCTTGAAAGAGCAGGGATGTTTTCATTAGGGAGACGATGTGTATGCTGAAAACTAAAGGAAAGCAGCAGTTGGCTGCTAAGGTTGAGGTGAAAGGGAGTGGGGGAGGGCAGTGGGAAAGGCATTCCTGGCAAAAGCAGTGGTGCTTACAAGGACCCAGAGGTAGAAGTGAACTTGGTCCATTTGAGGGAACTGAAAATGGAACATAGTATCAGAGGTAAAGGATAGGGCGTGGAGGGAGGTAGCAAATGAGGCAACAATCTAGGCAGGAGATCAGATCAGACATTTAAAAACCACATTTAGGCATTTTGCTCTATTCTGAAAGGAATGAGCTTCTGTTTTTGAAAGACCATTGTGGTGGCAAGGAAGAGGGAGGGCGGGCTGGACATGAGTTGGTTGTTTCAGTGAACCAAGTATGAGATGATAATACTACACTAAGCGTGTGGTATTGGGATTACAAAGAGTGATAGGTTCTGGAAATAACATGGTGTAGAACTAATAGGTCTTGATGAATGATTGGCTTAGTGCCAAGGAAGATGCCCAGATTTCTGGCTTGGGATCTGTGTTAGTGCAAATTTTAAATTCTCAGGGACAGCATATTTGCTATTTCTTATAAGTATCCTAAAAACCATTAAAATGAGTTTGGTTGCAATTGGCTTAGTGAATATTACATTTTATTGATAAGAAGAGTAAGCCATCTGGCTGTTCTCTGACTGGTTGATATCTATTTCCTTGGGTATAATAAAGATGTAACCTCTGCCACAGGAAGCTATTACCTGATATTATTTATTTCCTGATAAAAAGAAGCAAATCATGCCTGGACATCTGTGGAAAATGAGTTTCTAATAAAGCTAAGGTAGTTAATGTCTAAGTGGGAGTTTCTCCTGTGATGATAAATGTCTGCTCTGTTGGAACAGTTTCCATAAAACTCAGTAGGTAAGAAGGAAGAGACATTGTGTAATTGTCAGTGAGGCAATAAAGGGATGTTTGTTTATTGGGTTTATAATCAACAGTGAACACTAACTCAGATGAAAAATGAAAAAGTTTTGGTGTGCTAGTTCAGCAATAGAAGCTTCTGTTTCAGAAAATAAATTTATTTTGGTAAGTATTTAGTGTAACATTGAGTGAATAATAGAAAAAAATGTGAAGGATGACACTGAGAAAAATAAGAAAGTGTGACCATGTGTGGGAGTACAGTGCTAATAGCTCTTAGAATAATAGCATATTGCTGACCATTCAATGTCCACAAAGTACTGACTATTCAGTGTCCACAAAGGGCTGTGTTTTCTAACTGTGGTGTAATTCTTGCTTACAGAATGTTTCCCTGCTAGACTGCTGTCTGTATTAGAAGACAGATGGAATGTTGTGGCAAGAGGCGAAATAAACCTTTACCTTGACTACCTGGTCATTTTTCTCTCTTAAAGACCTTAATGAAAATAATTAACTGTTTTTCTGGCATTGAATGTAATGGAAACTTACAAGATCTGTATGCTATAGATGAGTATGTCACACTCAGTTGCTGTCCTTGTCTCAGGAGCTTTTGCTAGACTCAGGTTGAGTGTTGGTGGACCTCTTAGCAGTCTTAGTGGTCACTGGGTCCAACGGGATATGTGGTATCTTCCAGGCTGTGAGTAGGCATCAGCAGGGATTCCTCTTTTTGGAGATAGTTATCTAGAACCAGTCTGTATTAATCAGGGTCAGACAAGCTGCTGTAACAAAGAGATCTAAACATATAATGGCTCAGATAAACTAGAAATTTACTTCTCTTTCACATAACAGTTCAAAGGCAGGGATGAGACGAAGCCCAGTGTAGATATTGGTTCTGCTGCACCAGCTACCTAGGGTCTCAGGTGTTTTCTAATTTGTTGCTTTGCCTTGCCTTGAACTGTTGTCTTTAGTCACATGGTCAAAGTGAGATCATAAGTATCATGTCCTCTTGCCAACCCAAGGAAAGAGGAGAAGAAGGAATGAGGGCAACCAGCTTCCTTTTAAAAGATATAATCCAGAAGTTGCTCATTCCATTGGCCAGAATATCATCACATGACCACAGCTACCTTCAAGGGATTTAGGAAAATAAAGACTCTGTTTGAGTGGCTGAGTGCCCAGCTAAAACTCAGAATTTTCTAGTACTAAAAGGAAGATGAGGAAAATAGTGATATTGGTGGGCATGTGATAATCTCTGCTATGCAGTCCTATAGATCCATTTTAGTGATGGTTCTCTTTCTCTGGGATATTTCATTTCATGGGGTGTTTGAGGAAGGGTTCCTGCATCCTACTGATAATACACAGGTTATGATTGTTCATCACTGAGAGAGAAACTGTATATTTCAAATGTCATGTCTAAACTGCACAATTTGAGTGTTTCATACATTTCAGTTATTCACACATGAATACACTTCAATCTTACTGTAGCAAACTCAACATAGTGGTAATTACTTTGTCTGTCTCCCTCAAACTAGGTCCAAGAGAAACCCGATTATATGCTGAGGATTTTCTTGTATTGTTCCACAACCCTGTCCCTAGGACATGGCAGTTAACATTTGCTACCAAGAAATAAATGACAACACTTGAAATTGAATGGGATGCTTTGTTTATTTAACAATTAAAGAAAATATTGAGTACATTTGTAGTTCAAACTAAAAAGCTTTGTTTCTATTAAGTCAAATGTACCTCAGAGAGTGGGGTTTTTTGTTTTCTTCCATGATGTTAAAATGGTGTTTTCTTTTTTTGTAGGGTTACCATGATGTTCTCTGATGGGCCGAGGCTGGTGAACTGAAAGGGCCTAGTCTTTGGAAGTTTAGCAGACACCAGGATTTCCTCTCTGAGAGCTCCAAAAGAATCATTTGGGACATTCAGGACTCTTTACACACTTTCACCATAGCACTAACAATATTATCCATTGTATAGTTGGGTTACCTGTCTTTCTCACCAATAGACTGAACTCCTTGAGGGATGAACTATATGTTCTCTAATTTTTTGTCTTCAGAGCCTAGTGCATACATGGCACAAATAGGGGCTATTTGAAGTGTTGAGTGAGTGGATGAGGGAGAAGGTGAGTGGGGCAATAGCTCTCAGCAGTGATTGGAAAACCTCTTTTAGCATATCAGGATGACAGGAGGAAAACATGGGCACGTGTACAAAACTGGGAGCTCCTGTCTTATGATTCTGTCTTCTCTGTGAGGTACGAGAAAAGTGTGGGGGCAGGGAGGCCAAGAGTTTTGGAGATTAGAAAACTTTGAAATGGTGGCTTGGAAAACACCAGAGATAATTGGTGGGGGAAATATAGGGTGTTGCCAGCAGCATTTAGGATCAATCTCACTTCCAGTCCCAGCTTTTTACTACCCTATTTTCCCCTATTGTCTCCTTCCTTTGCTTTTTAGAGACCCTCACATGTTTGCATCTTAAACAAACAAGACCCCCCCACAACCCCATCCCTCTCCAACAACTGCTTTCTTACTCCTCCCCTTCAGGAAGGAACTCCTGTGAAGAGCTGCTGCCCTCACTTTTCTAGCTTCCCCACTCCTTTTCCTCCTCCCCCAGAGTCCTTTTTGTTTCCTTCATTGAATTCTTTCCCAATGAGTAATCATGATGTTCTTGTTGCTAAATACAATGCATACTCGAGGTCTTTATCTCACTTAACTTCAGAGCAGCTTTTGACTGCTCCTTCCTTATTGAAAGTTCTGTATCTCCTATTTTTCTAGCTGTTCCTTTCCAATATTCTTTGCATGCTCCTCTTCTTTTGCCCACCTTTATGTACTTCTCTTGGGGGTTTTGGTCTGGGCCTTCTATTGTTCTCATGCCACATTACCTTCCTGCGCAATCTACTCACTGCCTTTCTCCAGTTGCATCTTCATGCTGATGGCTGCACAGCCTACATCTTCAGCTTATCTATTTCTTTAGCTCCAAACCCATATATCCAGATGCTTCCTTGACCTCTACATCTGCATGTCCTACAGAAACCCAAGCTCATCATGCCCACTGCTCAATTCATCTCCATTACCTTCCCCCATGTTCCCTAGTTTAGTCAATGGCATCTCTGCCTGTTTGGTAGACAAGCCAGAAATCAGGACATCATCCCTACCTGCTAGCTCTCTCATCATTATTTTACCTCTTTAAAGTCCCTCTCAAAATACTGCTACCCTAGGCTAGCCACCAAGACCTCTTGTCTAGATTACTTCAACAGATTCCGAAACAGTCTATTTCTAGTTCATTGCTTCTCCAAACAAAACCTCCATATTACAGCCAGAATACAAATTCGATCATTTTCTACCTGCTAAAATTTAAAAAAAGATATGCCCTTTCCTGCTTCCAGGAAGTTCACACTTTTACCAGGCCTATAATCCTTCATGATCTGACCACTCCCACTTCATCTTTAACCATTCCCCTCTGGCTCTCTAGGCCACATGCATACTGATTTCTTTTTAGTTTTTTTAACATACTATGTTCTCTCTCACCTCAACATGGTACGTTTTCTGTCTGGAACTTTCTTCTCTCCTTTGGATAACATTCATTCATTCCCTTAAATATTTTGTTTATGTATTAGTGAGGCACCATACTATGCATTAGGGATATAGTAGTGAATAAAATAGAAAAGTCCCTGCTCCCTAACATTAGGACTGGTCCTGTTCTAATCAAGTTTTTGTATCTGTCATGGTAAGCATCCAACTAGAACTTGTTTGTGGATTCTTCAGGGCCCCCAAGAGAAACTTTCGCTGTGCCCTTCCCTAGGGAAAGATACTGGGTGGCTCATCAGATCAAAAGAAAGCTAAATAATGACACTTCAAGAGGGACAAGATCAAAAAAAACTCTATAATCCCATGGTCATGAGCCCTTGGATTGGTTCATCATAGTGATAATATTGTTGTTACTCACCTCCAGCTAGCTTCCTAAAATAGGGATATGATAGAGGGTGACTTGTATGTGTCCTCCTGATAAAAGTTCAAATTCCAGGGAAAGTGAATGTGATCAATCTAGTTATGTTCATTTATCTACAACTATAAGTTGTATAGTATGTCTGGAAGCCAGCGTATTGTAACAACTGTTACAGATGGTGGTGATGTTATTTGGGTTATGATAGCAGCAGAGATGGAGAAAAGTGGGTGGATTCAGGATGTTGATAGGCAGAGACTGACAAGGTTTGCAGAGTGAAGTCAAAGTGTAGGGGAAAAGAATCATGGATGATGAGTAGATTTTCAAATTTGGAAGGTGGGACCATTTTTTGAGATTGGAAGACTGGGGGAAGAATAAGATTTGGGTTGATGGGGTTTGGGGAGGTAGAGAAGAGATTGTGAATCTACTTTGGTCATGGTAAGTGTGAGATGCTTAATCAGCCATTGGCTATGAAACTGGAGCACAGTAGAGCAGTCAGATCTAAAGATATCAATATGGGAGTCTTCAACATATAGATATTATTTAAAGTCATGAGTCTAGACCAGATAACCTATGGATATGTGTACAACATAGTGATTTGATATTTGTATGCATTGTGAAACAATCATCACCATAAATCTAGCTACCGTCTGTCACCATACAATATTAATATAGTATTATTTACTATATTCCCCCTGTTTTACATTACATTTCCATGGCTTATTTACTTTATAACTGAGAGTTTGTACTTTTTGATCCCCTTCACCCATATAATCCTCCCCTCAACCCCTGTCCTTTCTAGCAGCCACCAAGCCATTTTCTGAATGAGTCAGAGTTTTGTTTTGTTTGATTGTTAATGTTTTTTAGATTCCACATAAAAGTTAAATCATGTGGCATTTGTCTTTATCTCTCTGACTTATTTCACTTAGCACAATATCCTCAAGGTCCATTTCTTGTAAGGCTGGTTTAGTAGTGATGAACTCCTTTAGATTTTGCTTGTGTGGAAAATTCTTTCTTTTTACTTTAGTTCTGAGTAATAACTTTACCAGGTAGGGTATTCTTGGTTGGAATCTTTTTCCTTTCAGCACTTTAAATATGTCATGACACTCCCCTTCTACTTGCAGAGTTCCTGCCGAGATAACTGCTGATAACCTTATGGTGTTTCCCTTTTATGTAATGATTTGTTTTCTTTTGCTGCTTTTAAGATTTTCTTTTGAACTTTTGACATTTTAACCACAATGTGTCTTGGTGTGGATCTCTGTGAGTTCATCTTTCTTGGAACTCTCTAGGCTTCCTGTACTTGGATATTCATCTATTTCCTTCCCTAGGTTAAGGAAGTTTTCAGCCATTATTTCTTCGAACAAGTTTTCTGCCCCTTTCTCTCTTCTCCTTTTGGGACCCCTATAATGTGAAGGTTATTCCACTTGGTGTTGTCCCATTAGGTCCATTAAATTTAACATCATTAAACATTTTGTTTTCCTTTTGCCATTCAATCTAGGTAACTTCCATTGCTTTGTCTTCCAGCCCACTGACCTGTTCTTCTGCTTCATCCATCCTGCTGTTGAACCCCTCTAGTGAAATTTTTAGTTCCATTATTGTATTCTTAGCTCTGTGACTTCTGTTTGGTACTTTATTATATTTTCTCTTTGTTGAAGTACTTACTCATTCTTCTCCCAAGTTTGGTAAGCATCTTTATGACAGTATTTTGAATTTTTTACCAGATAGATTACTTTGTATTATTGTCTCTTTCTGAGGTTTTTGTCTTGTTCCTTCATTTGAAATATATTTCTATGTTTCCTTATTTTGCTTGACCCTCTGTGTTTGTTTCCCTATAGTAGGTCAAACAGCTACCTCCCTAAGTCTTGAAGGAGTAGCTTCATATAGGTGCTGAAACTTCTTGTTCAATCTTGCCCTACGTCTTGATTATCTCTCAAACCTTTGTGATTGCCTAAGCCACTTGATTTATTCTTAATATGTCCCCATTGTTGAGAGTGTCCTATTGGTGTTCCAAGGGGAGGAATCTCACTCAGCACTTAGTTTCAGGCTGACTGGGAACCAGACCATCAGGAAGCAGCTTTTAAAGTATGCAAGTATATGCAATCCTGTGGGGCTGTAATCCTGTAATCCTTGCTCACCTCCAGACCGGGAGATCTGGAGGTGCCCTTTGGGTGACAGTTGCAAAAACTGGGGCTCCAGACAAGTGTATAACCTCCTTTCTGGGAGGTCTCATCAAGCCATAGAAAGGCCAAGGGGGCGTGCAAGTATGATGCCTCCCTGCCTATGTTCCTTGGGGGTTCCTCCTTAGCCTCTAGATGTGAAATATGAAGCTTGTCCCTCAGACTGAAGCTCCAGGCTAGATAAACAGGCCTTTTTCACAGGCTGACTTGTATTGTGTGTCAGTGCCCTGGGGTGGTGGCCTGCCAAGAACTATCTTTCTAATTGTTACATTCCCGTGGAGCTCAGGAACAACAGCCCCTTGGCCACCAGGGCCAGGTGATCAAAGGGCATCCCTTGTATGGATTGCCTGCATCTGCTGGCTTTAGCTGGGCAGCTGGAAAGAGTAGGGGGAGGGGCATATTTGCCAGCTTCAGAAAAACAGCAGGAAAACGTCTTGACTCTTGTGCCTGCTGGCTTCAGGAATGCAGCAGGAAGGAGAGTGCTGTGTCTGTGTGCAGCACACTGCTTTAGTCTGGGAGTGGGAGAACGCTACAGTGGCCCAGCTGACTGACCCAGGGTCTTGACCACTTGCCCCCACCTGTTTTAGCAAGGAGGCTGGAGGGTGCTGGGTGTGATCTTGCCCACTTGAGCTAGCAGGGTAGGTGGAGAGTGCAAAAATGCCATATGCCAGTGCCTTTGTCTTTGGAGAGTTTCAGCTGTCCCCTGCCCCTCCGGCAGATACTTTTATATTAGCCAATGCACCTCCTTCACTTTTCCAACTGCTGTTTTCTCACTGGGTCTCAGGGTAAATGACAGTGCATGCAAGCCCTTTAAAAGGCGTATCTCCATTTCCTAAAGCATTTTGGGTCTGTTGGACACCAGCCCCATTGGTTTTCTAAGCCAGATGTCTTGAGGGCTTATCCCTCCAGTGCAGATCCCAGAGGATGAGGTGCCTTTTGTGGGACACCCACCCATTGCTCCACCAGGAGAAACACCAGACTGGTGAGATCCTTCCTCATCAGTGTTGCTATGCTGAGGGTGAGGTTTTTGGCAAGACTTTGTCTCTGCCTCTCCTACCCTTCTTGATGTGGTCTTTTTATCCTTTGTTGTGGAGAAGCAGTTTGTCTAATTTTCAGATCTTTTTCAGAGGGAAAAGATCCGTATCTTGGTGTGTCTATGGGAGGCAGTAGTTCAGTATCTTCCTACAGGGCCGTCTTGCAGAAGTCCATTGAGAAACACCTGGTCTGGCTAGAGCTTTTTATGTGCCAGTAGGTTATTAGGGCTAGATGGATGATAAGCCATCCTACAATATCAATCTCTTATTTTTAAGATGAGAAGCTGAGGCCTAGAAGTGGTCATCTTGTCCAAAAAATGTGATGGTATTTTTGCAACCAGGCTGACCAATGGAACTAATAAATTCTTTTGTGTATCTTAAATATAAACCCATAAATATCATCAACCAATTGACATACATGTCTGAGAATGAAGTAGGGAAGCTGGTTGTATAAAAATTATAACAGTAGTTCTGTCTCCTTCACAGTTTATCATTAGACCTCATAAATAATACTGTGAAAGTTCATGGTAAACAATAGAATGGCATACAAATGTGAGGCTACATTTCTTTCTCCAGATAAGCCAGGTAAATATTGGCCAATTTTCTCAAAAGTCACTTGTGCTTAAGGGAGGAGCTTACTGCATGTGCTAGTATCCCTCTGTTTTCAGATTTCTCAGCTCTAATGAACATTTACAGAGTTCTAACTGCAGACTAGGTCAAGCATGTTTGTGGGCTTGAGTAAGAGTGCTTGAAGTTCACCCCACACTTGGCTATGGCCTAAGGGGCCCATTCTTGCTTCTCCCTGTAAAGCAGGTGTCTCTAAAGACTAGAGGGCACCTGAAGATGGGATATCAGGGAGAGGATAAGCTTAGTTCAGGGGCAAGCTCCAGATTGCAGCAGGGCTACTTGGAGTCCTCTAGGAGGCAGGAGGATTAAATAAATAGAGGCGAATAACACATACTCTTGAAATGAAGACAAATGCATTTTAGCTTGATTTTATTTTCTCTTTTGTCCTTAGGGGGCCAAGTGGCCAAGGAGTCCCACAAATGGAATTGCTATTAATCATGATCATTTACCTTCCAGAGAGGAAAAAATAAAGTTCAACATGTGCAAGCTGTATTTCTAAAATTTTGATACATTTGGAAACTGCAGCTTTATTCTTCCAAGTAATTACCAACTACAGGAGGAGAGAAAAAGCTTATAATCAGGGACATAATGTCAGAATTCTTGGCACTTTCATTTAGGACATTTATCCAGCCTGAAAAAAAAAAACATTATTAGGTTTCCATCCCGGATTTGTTGCAGAGAAAGCATTTAACTTTCCTCCCATGACATGGAATCTTAATATAAAACACACAAGGGCTGCTGGGTAGAAAAGAACAGAATTAGCTGGGAACTGAAGGATTTACAATTATAATGAATGTCACTTTCTGGACAAGGTAAGGATGATTTCTAAACATCTCTCTTAGCCCTGCCCCCCAACACCTTCTCCACCAACATGTTGCCTTGTATACAAATGTTGAGTGCTCTGGGTGTGAGGACAAGTGCCAGGCAGGGGACCTGGTACTGCCTGAGAACAAACACTGAAACTTAAGCCTTCAGCTAGGGCAATGGGGCCCAGGCCAGCCTTGACCAAATTCATCCTCCCATTCATTCTCACCCTCTTACCTTTGTATACATATTGCAAATTTAACTGCCCAATGTTAAGAGAAATGCTCAGTGGTAAATTCTCATTCTAAAATAGTGGTGTGAGAAAAAACAGCTCTTGATAGTTTATATTCTGAATTTTCAAGTATTGTACATCTATGAGGGCCATTACTTTTAGCACTAATATGATGCTTTTTCTCCTTCATTTAATTGATTCTCCACTTGTTCCCAACAATAACAAAAAGTGGGTTTTTGATTGCCTACAGTAATATGTGAAATACAAAATATAGCAAGAAATAGATGAGGAAATTGGAGTGAAAAGAAATTGGACTGCAAAGATGACAGACAGCCAGGGATGAGGTTAACATTTGGAAACACAAATGATAAAATTCCCCTGAAAGCCAGAGGTTGGCCACAAACCCTGTTCTGAGCTTCTTGAGTAAAGGAGGAAAGTGGATGCATTGTAGTAGTCAGTGTATCCAACAGTCAAAAACGTACCAGTTGCTCCCAAGACATTCATACACTAGTATACACTTTATACACACCACTTATGTAGCTGGTACCAAACCTCTGAGCATTTTTGCTTTTGCATTCTCTCATAAGCTGCAACAGGAAGATGGAACAAGATAACACATCATAGGCTGATTTGAGTCTGATTCTTGATGCAGCAGCAGTTCTTCAGTTGCACATCAGAATCATCCAGAGAGACCTCTAAAATATACACATTCTTAGGCTCATCCACAAAGATTGTGGTTTTGTAGGCAATGGGGTAGAAAATGATATATATATATCATTTGAGATTATATATATATATGTATGTATATATATATATATATCTCATCTCCAAGTGTTTCTGCTCTAGCAAGTCTAAAGACATACATTTAGAAACTGCTGATGTCAGATGTGGTGAGAGGGGGAGTGTTGCGTATCAGGTTCCCCCCAGGTTTGGGACAGAGACTCGCATGCAGAAAATTCACTGTCGGGTGGGGGGCTCTTGGGATCGGTGCCTGTGGTAAGTGGAGGAGGAAGGATACAGCAGAGGGAAA